CTCTTTAAAAACGAAAATCCTCCTAAACCACACTTACCCTCCGTGATGCCTGTCGTAGCAGGATTTGTTAAGTAAAGGAACTGCGCGAAACAGCCCTTTACCCCAAACGCTTCGGACTTAGGAGCACGCCGAAACAGAGCCCGAAGGTGGCAAGAAAAATTGTCTTGGCACCTATGCCACGAACACCCTCCCTTCCTCACCCCCGCACCTCTCGTTCCACTCCCACCCCGACTGCAGTAATTGAATTGTCACCTGCCCCCCCATCCCGTCCCAGGCCGCCAGGGCCACGCGGGATGTTCGGCCTTGCCAAGCGCCCCCCGCCAGTGAGAGCGGCGCAGCGAAGACGGCGCCCCAGAAGCCGAGGGGTTACACACGTCTACGTAGAGAGGCGCACCGGACACGGTAATTAGAGCAATTCACACGCTCTCGGGCTCACGGAAACTACTTGTCACGATATTTTCAACGTTCCTCCTCGCCCACGTTTTTCCACTCCTTCCCTGGCGCGCCCCCTCCCCTCCCCGAGGCACACAGTGGAGCTTTTGGAGTTTCGAATCTTTCGGACACTGTAGAATGCGGGGCTCCCCGGGCGCGGGCCCGGCCAATCAGAGCGCCGTCTGCCTCCCCTGGCCAATGGCAGGCGCCACATTGTTGTCCAATTCTGTCTAATGGAGCCCTAAGGAGCAACAATAGAGCGGGCGAGCGGCTCATTGAGAGTCTGGCAGCACCCGGCAACTGGGCCCCGGCTGTGCGCAGCGTCCGGCGCGCACCGCGAGGGGACGCGGCACGGCGACAGCAGGATCGCGGGTTCCAACCGCTGGCCCCGAAACGGGCCCCCGGCTCCAATTTCCGACGGGAGGGTTGGACTGCGCTGTGTTCTGAGGGGGTCCGGAAGTTCGGACATGGTGACTGAAGGAGGGTGACGTGGTCAGATAAGGGGCCGGGGGCAAGGGGAAGAGGCCAAGAGCGCCAGCGTCGCGAGCGGAGCTGGGAGGCGCGTGCAGTGCCAGCGGAGGAGGAGGATCCCGGAGCCCAAGGCAGGTAGTTGAGGGCCGCAGGGAGAGCAGATGAAGCGACCCGGCCTGCGGCTCCTGATGAAGATGCTCAGGCCTGGCGGGCCTTAGGGACTGCGCGGCCCGAAGTTATCTGGGAGAAAGGCAGCGCTCCTGAGCAGGAGGTCTGGGATTCTCGGACGCAGATACCAGGATTCGATCCTGGGCTCTGGTGGGGAAGGGTGGAATGGAGGTAGGGGTGTTGGGCGGGGGTGAGGTGGGGTGCGGGCACAGGAAGCCGCAGCGGAAGCCGGGAGCTGGGCCTGCCAGGGCCTTCTGGGGCCGCGGCGCGGGTGGGCTCCCGTGTCCGTTCGTGGCCAGTTCCGAAGGCGACACCCCTACCTTGGTGAGGCCTGCTGGGCCATCCAGGTCCCAGGAACCCAACTCCGAGATCAGACCGCGGGAACCTGCGCTCGAGCGGGGTCCCTTGGGGCCCCAGGATGGGGATGGCGTGTCTGACGACTCTGCCTCCAAACCGGGAGAGAAGGGGAGGGCAACGAGAGGTGGTAAACGGAAAAGATCCCCTGCCCGCCCGCCTAACTTTTCGCAGGATATTTCTTCCTCTCCAACTACTTGTACAGACTACCAGGCTAAAATTTGTGCCACAGGTTTTACCCTATCCCCGTCCCCAGCCTTTGCCTGCGGGGGTTTCTCTAGTGCCCTTTCCTCTCTCGCACGTGGACCCTGGGTCACAGACACCCATGTCAGCTGTTTTTCGTTGTTTTCCTTGTTTGGGCTGAGTTTGCCTATCCAAAGAAAGTTTCTTCAGCTGAATTTTCTCTTTAATTCTCCCCAGCCCTCCTAAAGTCGGCTCCACACCCATTTTCTCTCCCTCTTTCTAGAGGCCAGCACCATGGAGCTCACATTTTTATGGGTCCCAGGGCCAGTGAGTCTAACTTTTCCAGTGAGTTGTTTCCTAGCCTTTGCTTTACTTTCTTAAGCTATTTTTAAAGTTCCTGACTTTTCTCTCGAACTTGCCTGCTCTCACCCGCATTAAACACAAACAGAAAAACAAATGAACAAAACCCTGGCCCAACCAGCTCAACTCTGCGCCTCGACATCTGTCTCCTTGTCTTCACCCTTCCAGCAAACTGAATGCTTTGCTCCGGATTTCCCTGTTTTTGTCCTTGGCATCAGCCTAACTGCTGGGCCAAAATATTCTCTCTAATCCGCGTCCCATCAAACATTTCTTTCTACCCGTCCGTCTCACCCCAATTAAGCTGAGCGTTTGGGGATAATATTGTCTTTTTCAAATCCTCGTTACATCCATCTGAACCAGTGGCTTTCAAACTTTTATGTCTCTTTATTTATTCCAGTGGAACCACTGATTCAAATGAAATCTCACACCCGGCGTATAAATCAGATATAATTTCCCAGCTACGGTGGGAGCGGGGTGGGGGGAGCTCGGACTTCCGAGGAGGTTCCGAACGCATCTCCTCCCGGCAGTTTGGCAACCACTAGCCGCACTTCCCCTTTCTGAACTTGGGTTCCTCGAGGCTGTGCTTTAGCCTAGCGCACCGTCCGCTCCTCATTCAGTTCTCTCCCCCTTCCCCACCTTCTTCCACGTCAGGTCCTGCCATGGAGCTGCGCTCGGAGCTGCCCAGCGTGCCCGGCGCG